GGGGGGGACGAGACGGGGCTGTGTGATGGGGGGGCTGCCAGGGAGGTGATGGGAGGTGATGGGGGGATGCTGGAGATGCTGAGGGGGTCGTGGGGGCAATGTTGGGGGGATGCTGGAGGGGATGATGGTACAACAATGGAGGGACTATGGGGACGACGAGGGGATAACTGGGGTGGTGGGGGGATAATGGGGGTGATGAGGGGATAACTGGGGTGAGGGGAGATAATGGGGGTGATGAGGGGATAACTGGGGTGGTAGGGGGATAATGGGGGCGACAAGGGGATAACTGGGGTGATGAGGGATGCTGAGAGGGCAATGAGGGTGATGGGGGGATAATAGGGGGATAATGGGGGTGAAGGGGAGATGCTGAAGGAGTGATGGGGGTGATGCTGGGGATGCTGGAGGGTGATGGGGAGATGCTGGGGGGGATGCAATGATGGGGGTGATGGGGGCGATACTGGGATGGAGGACGGGGACATGATTGGGGTGATGGGGTGACAATGGGAGAGATGAGGAGGTGACACTGGAGGGGTGACAGAATGACACTGGAGGGGTGACAGGGTGACACTGGGCCCACCTGGCAGGACAGCCCGTGGTAGCCGGGGGGGCAGCGACACTCCTCCACCTCGGGGGCGGGGGGGCAGGCCGGGCTGGGGGGGCACGGCCGTGTCCATGGCCACGTCGGCGATGCCGGCCGAGGCCGTGCTCGTGGAGTAGGTGGCCCGGATCAGGATCTCGTCCAGGTCCGCCAGGGCCATCAGCAGGTGCTCCCGCGTCGCCGGCTGCCCGTCCGGCCGCTGCCAGTATTGCTGAGGGGACAGGGGGGTCACGGGGGGGACACGCCCTGGGCAACGGGGACATTGGGAACAGAAGCCACCCGCCCCCCCCCCTACCTCCCGGAAAATGATCTCGAAGGCCTGGGGGGTCCGCGGGGGCAGCTCGGGCTGATGGGCCACCAGCGTGATGTCATTGCCCTGTGGATGGGGGGGGTCAGGGGGGGCCTGGTGCCACCCCGTGTCCCTGTGTCACCCCAAAGAGCTGCCCCATACCGTGATCTGGATGTCGGCGTCGGGCTGGGGGGCTCCCGGGCCCCCCGGGGTGTAGGTCAGGGTGTAGCGCAGGCGCCCACCGTAGGAGCCCACCTGGACACGGACAGGGGATTGGGATGGGAGCGGGAATGGGAAGGGGGGGAGAAATATGGGGAAGGGGAAAGGGAAAGGGAAAGGGAAAGGGAAAGGGAGAGGGAAAGGGTAAGGGAAAGGGAAGAGGAAGGGGAAGGAGAAGGGGAAGGGGAAGGGGAAGGGGAAGGAGAAGGGGAAGGGGAAGGGGAAGGGGAAGGGGAAGGGGAAGGGGAGGGGGACATAAATATGGGGAAGGGGAAAGGGAAAGGAAGGGGAAGGGATGG